CCCGTTGCCTGCCAGTTGGTGGTAGGCCCTGGCAATTTAAGCTTCTGAAAATTAGCCTTTAATGGGGGCCACTGTGTGATTGTGGGTTTGTTGATCACAGTAGCGGTCCGAGTTCAGGACATTGCCAAGGGGAGGGCTATTGGTACGCGAAACTAATAAACCCGCAGTTCGCCTAGGGACATTATGCGAAGAAAACGACCAGGTGCTATTCCAAATTCAGGCATCCTTTCGAAATTGGCTCTAGCCAGGCGTCACTGCCATTAAGGAGACTTAATTCACTCGAATGTCACTTCAATGACAGTTACCGTCAGGCCACATTAAGAAGGACCCATCTAAGCCTGACTATGGGTTCCTAAGACCGGCTTAATAATCTTCCAGTCGTCTTATTCCCAAATTGCAAATTGAACTGCTCCATTATAGGTTGAACCAGCGTCAGTTGGATTATAGTGAGAAAGGGCTCCTCCCCTATCGTTTTCCGTGCCGAATATGACACCGGGCGCATTTGATGACTACACATTCGCCCCCGTCTCCCGCATGTCAGCCACCTGCTGCCCTTTCAGGCGTCATGAGCCCGACTTCATTAAAAACTCTGGTCGAACACCAGAATGCCGACCGCGCTTTTGATATCACCCAAGAGAGCCACCCGCTACGGGGCCGACGGCCATTATAGATTTGCCAGTGAACTCGACCTCCAGGAAGCGGGGGGGGGGGGCGGTATTGACTTTCCCGTGCAGCTCATGTTTATTGTGAGGGAAATTTAGGCAGCATCGACCTCGCTCTCACTTTTTACCCTCATCGCCCACTGGTAGCAAGATTAGGTGAGAAAAGACTGGAGTTAGGTGTATGGGTAATGCTTGGCCGGTAGTTTTCCGCAGACTTTCTTATCACTCAATCCAAATGAATGAGTCTTAACTGCAACATTTCAGGCAACAGAATGTTAGTTCCGTTGTAGATATCACGCATCGGAAACGTTTATTTGTGGACATTAGTAGTATGTATAATGGAATTTTTACACGGATCCTTACCTTATTTATCTTACTACGTATCACAGCTGAGAACCTCGTCCGGGGAAGATTTTGAAGCTCCAGCTATCTGCTTTCTCCCTGTCCGACCATGTTCTGAGGCGATCGATCGTGCACAGGGCATCGTTGCCGAATTCCAGCGTGTGCTAGTGGCTTGGGCGGATACTGAACTCCTGGTTAACGGTACCCTTTTAAGGGCAAGAATGCGCGCCTTACATGACGATTTCTCAATTCTTTCTCCCTCAGAACAAAGTATGCGTATGCAGGTAAGTCATCTATGAATGTAGCTGGGGAGCTAGCTCGAAGCCTCGCTTGTGTGCCCCAACCGAACCTTGATTATTTTGCCCTGCTAGGCCGTCACCTCCGATGCTCAGCGTCATCTGGTAGCTATGCGATTGGCAAGGAGACCCAATGCGGAAGTGGAGAGCTTCCGGAAGGAGACCGAGCTCTTCCAGGCCTGGTTTTCCCAAATCGTCGGCTCCGCCTCTACCCAAAATAACGATGGAAACGAGAGTGCACCTGTAGATGGACAACTGACTGACGACTTACAGCCTCTTCAAAAGACACTCGATAGACTAGCTGACCAACTGCAACAGCTGACGTCTCAAGCCCTCCCCAGCCAAGTTACAGCACTTGAGCGAGCCCTAAAGGCTCATAAGGTATGTTTTTTTCGATAAGAATTTGATCTTTTCTCTCCCACATTCCAGAAACCCTCCTGGTGAAGTTAGGGAATTCTCCTCATGCTCGAGAGTTCTCCTGCACACGAAATCTCATAAGAAGTCATCTCTGAGCTGCATCACTCAGGAGTGCCCAAGGACGCACCATGTAATTAATGGCTTTTCACACTGGAGAAGGTTTGCAGGTGCGGCACTGTATTGGATGCATGGAGCATCCGTAGTTAAAGCCTGGGCGACTTGGACACTTACACGCTTAATCAACCGGCATGACTTTAAAGGCCAACTATAACAGAGGATAAAGACGGAACTTTCTTCTTGTCTTATGCCAATTTATTTTGATTAGTATGAATGGATTTTCAGTACGACTGCAGTCGGAGCCGTTAGTACAAATAAAACTGCTTGGCAGACCACAGGCGGAGACTGGTTTTAGTTCAAGAATTCAATTTAAGGCGTAAGCGCCATCGGAACCTCGTCTCTTTCGAGCGGTTAACAGGAGTAGTATCTCACAATTTTAGCATGTCAATTTGCCATCAGTGAATGTCGTTGTAACCAAAGATATCCCTCACGGTTTCATTGAACACCCCGCTGTTGGTTGCACCTGTCGTTGGCCTCAGTATTGCCTGTTCATTGAATCTGATGATCGTACAGACCATCAGTCTTAAGCAGTCTTGAAAGTTGAAATTCATGAGACCCAATTTTGAAAACCATGGCGGCCTAGGTGGGCTCAAAACGAGGTCTGATGAATTCTTTACATTTGTCAAGATCTCCGGTTAAGGTTTGTACTGGCATAGTCTGTTCTTGTGGACAGTTCTTACGACCGAACCTGGGTGAAGGTCTGTGACCAACACATCCTCGTCAGTTTCGTACTTGTAATTGACGTTTTCGTAGGCCTTTGTAGACGAAGGCAGTATTTCTTCATCCATTTTCTTTTAACACGGCGTAGTTAGTCACCAAACACTTAAATAAAAAGTTAGCCACTTCAACCGAATGCTCGCCCGCTGCTGGCTGTGATCAAAGATATTAATAAGCACACGACTGGAGCGTTCGCCCATCTAGTCCATGATGCCCTAGTCCAAGATTACTCAGAGCCGTCGCCAAAACGCTTATCTCGAATCCTCGTTTCCAAACTGAACTGGATCTAAATTTAAGGCTTGCCCGATCCGAGCTTGGGGCATCACTGTCTAGCGACGTCAAATAAGACATAAATGGCCATTCCATTGCCACTTGTCTTTGTCGAAAGTGGACGATTTGTAGGTGCCCATGGTCATGTGTCCTCCTGCGAGAACTCTAAACTGCAAACTTAAAAACAAAACTGAGACGATCATTTCTGTCCTGCAGGCAGGGTAGATCAGTGTATACCACTTCCATAAAATCTAAGTTTTTTTTCCTGAATCTGAAATGAGCTGCTAGAAAAAATTTATTGAGTATTACGGCAGTTCTACGGCTTTTAACGATTTAATCTGACCCGGCTGTGAAAAGCTCATCGGTCTCGGTGAGGTTTAAATCCAAGGCAGCAAGTGCTAGGCTTGTGTGCTGCCAGCGTTCTAACCACCTGGGCTAAGAGGTCGCAACCGGGAACCGTGAACTTAATCACAGTTACCCACCCACCCAACCTACCATACCATGATTTCTTCCACCCTTTTGGAAGTTTGTTTCTTTTTTCATGCAAAATTGGGGACTGGTAGTTAAGAGCTAGCACTCTTGACCACTTTTTCGTCCAATCCGGATCGGTGTTTTTCAATCTGACGATAAACCTACTTTTTTGGCCTGTTCGGGACTATCTATCCAGCCCAATTCATGTCTACTTTCTGTGCTAGATGGAATGATAGACTTGATGCCTGCTGTTAATGGGGTAGTACGTAGTACGTATTCTACGCTGTTATTGTAGGAGTGGATGAAGACAGCTCAGCAAGTTCAGGCCCGTCTGCAGGTGATGGCCAAGTCTAGAGCCCAAACAGCCAGTGATTCTGTAGCTATCTCGGCCCTCCTCACGGTCACCGAGACGCTCATCGACGCTGGGGGAGCTGCCGGCAGCCGGCTAGCCGACGTTGACGCAATCCTCGTACGTGTTGACAGTCTCCAGCACGCCCTCGCTGAGTCAGAACTATGCGTGGTACGGGTGCTGGCACGCCTGCATTCAGCCCCGTCTCCGCGTGTTTCGTCTGTCGCGTCCGATCAGTCGACGGCTAGCAGCCAATCAGAAGTGGACTCCGCCAGTGTGCAGAGCCTGCACGCTGACCTGAAGGTATGTACGTCTAAAGGCACGTTAGTGTTAGGCCGTTAAGCCAAAAGTCAGTCCGTGCAGTTTTTTTAATGCCTAGTTCCATATGACCGGACTTTGTTCTCCGGCTGTAACATTCAAATCATCATCCTCATCCTCATGCTCATCCTCCTCCTCCTCCTCCTCCTCCTCCTCCTCCTCCTCCTCCTCATCATCATCATCATCATCATCATCATCATCATCATCATCATCATCATCATCATCATCATCATCATCATCATCATCATCATCATCATCATCATCATCAAACTTTGTCTTCATAAAGGTTTTCTATGTGGGTCAGGACTATTGACGGGAAACTGCACCTGATTTTAGGCTTCATTATTCTTAGATGAGTTTAGTGGACTTTGCGCTAATAATTCAGACGCTGGACACAGTCTGTAGTCTCTACTTATTCCGACAATTTATTAAGTCAAGTACTAAGGCCGGCTTTACAACCCAATACGGCAGTCAGTTTGGATGTTGGCCCAGGAGGACAGGATATGGAGGCATTCACACAACTGTCAAACATAACCGCGACAGCTCAGACGCGGAGGTAGAAACTGCCGGTTCCGGTCCATTTCACGGAACCCATTCTCTTCCTGTAAGAGTTCTCTAATTTGCCTAGACTATCTTATTAAATTAAATGAACCCTAAAATATATGACTGACGAACATTTATAATTTTTCATTGGTACTTGAAAATTGCGCTGTTTCGCCCCGTTTAGTTTTTCAGCCACCCAGTTAAAATGTAGTGGCGTTGTTTATGCACAGGGTACGGCAATTTGACTGTCGCAAGCGACGTGCTCCACCGCTGCCTACGAGGTGCGTTCGGGGGTCGCATGCACGTGACTTTGTCCATAGCGGAGCATACTTGCGCTGAATCTGCTCCGCTCGTCCCACGGAACTATGCCAGGACAAGGCCAGAAAGACCAGAGATGAACGTGAACGCAGTGACTCACCGCCAACCAGCCAGTCTATGCGACCTCGGTACAAGTCCCACTTACGAAGATTTCACTAGGAGGGAACCTGCACCTCGCACACATTAGAGTGCAATAAAGACCACACTAAGGAAGAAACATTGTAGCCTAGTTTGCGATCAGCACTAGGACAAAGTTATATCCTCATTCGGCAAACTTCCAAACCACAGTTTTTGATGCATCATAATAACCCAAAAACACGTTTGGCTATTTGTAATGAGGACACCGAACACTGGGGCCGAATTGACTAGACTCACCTACCCTCTCCCACTGGCTAGTGGTCTGTTCCGAGTCAAGTCGACTGGTGATTTGCCTGGCGTGAAGTGAGAACCACCGTTTGGCGCGTGTCACGCACAGTATTGAGCCTGACAAGTGAGAAACATTATAAAAGCCAGTGCATTCCGGTCCCTGTTCTAACGGAGAATCAAGTTGGCGTTAGAGAATCACATTGTTGGATTGCGTTAAGGAAGGCTGTCTCAATGTCGCTCTCGCCCTCTTGTCCGTCTCCCATGTACCAGTGGCTCATTCGTGCATCCCTACCGATCGGGGCTGAGGTAGAGTGCAGTGGTTGGCGTGACGTGATCCTCCGTGTAAGTCGTGTCCAACGCGTGTGTGGTTCACACATACATATGCCGTGGGGTCAGTGTGGCCCCCGTTTTGACCCACCGCCACGGTAATCCACTCCTTCCCGGCTTCAGTGTGCCCAAGTAAAAGCAAAGTCCTGCGGGCTGAGTGAAGGGACAAAAACGGACCTTTCCTTATGGTAATTGCGCCCGGGTGAAGTTTAGCTTTATTCCTAGGAACACTTCCACACAAACTTTGCACCCTGCAGATTTCGTGCTTTGAATCTGTGTTTTCTGTAAAGGTCTTCGTAATGATAGATATTTTTTATTCTTGCTAGTAGAAGCGGAGAGACGAGTTCCAGGAAGTAGTTGCGAAGATGGACACACGATCGTTGTAACAAGAGCTTTATTAGCCTGACGTTTCGAATTCTCACTCGAATCCATCATCAGAGACAGTCAGATAAGGTTAGTGGATTGCCAGGTGTTGCAGCATTTAGAGGGCGTAGTTGCTAGGTCACTACATGTCCATCACAGTTGACAGCTCCCGAGTGCATCACCGTTCGACTCGGCAACTGCCAACTACATCCTATAAATACCGCAACACCTGGGCAATTCACTACCTCCTCTGCCTTTGTTTCTGATTATGGATTCGAGTGAGAGTCTGAAACGTCAGGCTAATAGGCCTCTGGTTCCAGCAATCATGTATCTTTATTCGCGATCCTTATCTGTGGTAAGACGAGGAATCACCAGACTTTATGGAATTAGGACAACAATGTAATTGCTACTATTGGATGTTTTTATTATTTTTTCTATGCTTATAAATCTCGTAAGCACTCCGGGTGTTTTCCTGAAACGGTAATATGTGAGATCGGGGGACCTCTGCGCTTACTAATTTCATTCTTCATCCCGACTGTCGCAATGCAAACCCTGGTTTTTCTTATTTTGTAGGACATTACAATGAATATACACGCCCTTCTGAAGACGCTGGAGCAATTTCCCCACCAACTAACCAATCTTTCCCTACACCAAGTACCAAACTCCCCACCAAAGGCAACGCATGACGTCGTCTACCGTCTGCCGCCTGCAAACACGGCACTCCTGGAGGAATTGGTGACGAGAGTGAATGCTCGGTGGGCCAACGTAGTGCAGCAAATTGATTCCAGGTATGTTGATGAATGATCGCACGCAGAGGACAGTTCGACGGAGGCGTCGGCGCCAATGTCTCTATTCCCTTTCGTTGGTATTTACAGTGGGCAGTGTTAGGAAGCAAAACACGCAAATTATCTACTCGCAGCTACGCCATGCAGCGGCAGAATATCGGCGAAATACGCTTGTATGGGCTTTTGGCTAGTACCCGTGCTGTTAGTGTGGTATCACCTTGCCCTAAAGTATACTACTAGCTGCTTGTTGGCAGTTAATGAATATTACGCGGTTACCCGCTGTGGCTGATGAACTCGGCCCAAATACTCATACATAAAACTTAGGTCTGAGCCTATAGACCTTGAAAAAACACGAAAATGTTCATACGGCACTTAACATAATTGGCTTTTTCCCATATTCCCCCACTTAATCTACGCTTTAACAGTATTCATCTACTGGTGGACGCGTTTGAGCAATTCAAAACCTGCCTCAAGACGC